GAAGTAAATTGTTCGTAGGCGCTTTATAAGCATTTCAGCGCAATAACCGAATAGTATGACACAAGGACGCATTTGGATGATTTTTTACGTGTAGAATTATCGGCGTCTGGAATGTGGGCGTACCCAACTGGAAGTATCAGACGAACTTGGAATTGCCCAGAGTGTCATCTCCAGGCTTTGGCAACGATTCCAAGTTGATGGTAATGTGAGTAGACGTTACAGCACAGGTCGCCCCAGAGTTACAACGCCGAATGAGAACCGGTATTTGGCAGTTACTGCCAAACGAAACAGGCGGAGCACAGCCTCAGACCTGTCTCGTCAGCTCTCTTCAGCAAATGGTACGACAATTTCAAGGAAGACCGTGTACAGACGCTTAGAGCAGATTGCTCTATATGCTCGTAGATCTGTCAGATGCGTTTCACTTACTGCAACTCACTGTCGCCTGCGGTTAGCCTGGAGTAGAGAGCATGCATTGTGGACACCGCAACAGTGGGCTTGTGTGATGTTTACCGACGAGTCCAGGTTTAACTTGCAGTCTGATTTTCGCCGGACTTTCATATGAAGAGCTCCAGGTACCCGTTACCAACAAGAAAACATCATTGAACGACACCGTTACGGTGGTGCAGGAGTGCTCGTTTGGGGTGGAATTATTCTGGGTTCCAGAACTGACCTGCATGTTCAATTGGAAACCATGACAAGCCAAATCTATCGGGACGTCATTCTGGAACAACATGTACGTTTGTTTCGGGGCGCCATGGGCGCACAATTTGTGTTTATGGATGACAAAGCCGGTCCTCACCGTGCAAACATCGTAAGCGAATGCCTTCAATCGGAGGATATCACCCGACTGGCCAGCATTCTCACCGGACTTGAATCCAGTAGACCACGTGTGGGACATGCTTGGCCGACGAGTTGCAGCCCGTCAACCTCCTCCTACATGTCTACTGGAACTTCGGAGAGCATTGCTTTTTGAGTGGTGTAATATCCCCCAAGATCAGATCGATAATTTGATACTCAGCATGCCTAGGCGTTGTACGGACTGTATTGCATCGTCTGGGGGACATACAATGTATTAACAATCATACCAACCATGTAATATTGTTTTTTTGTAAATAAGGTTTTTTAAAATTTGCTCCAGTGAGAAAAAATCGCTAATTTTTTTAATAATATCAAACATATAGCATCGTTTTTTGCTCTTTTCCTTTTGTTTAATAAATAAGCTTTACAAATAAGTCAAATTTGTTTTGCTTCTAACTCTTATTTTGCCTGATTTTGCATTATCCTTAATTTATGGACATGAGTGTAGTATAGGGAAGAACATGTTTTAAATGGAAGATCATTGAAAACCAGAAATATCGAGATGAAGTCTTATAACCTTATATAAGACATTTCAGCTGTGCATATGAATCTGATGATTTCTTTGCGATAATATTCGTCCATATCAAGCAAACCTCGCTGATGAACTCTTTGAAAATGAAGACACAGTGGCCAGCAAAATCTCGTGATCTGAATTCAGTACATAACTTGTGGAACCTCCTCGAAAAATATTTACGCTAAGAAGCCCTTTTTTTAAAGATGTAAATGTTCCGAAGATAGCATTTCTAAAAGAGTAGAACCTAATTCTCCAAACTATGGTTAATAACCTTATTGACAAAACGAAAACACATTGTGATACACGTATATAGGTCACAGAAGATCACATTCTGTATTTAATTCTTAAGCCTTAATTTTTTCTGAACTCTTGTTGTAACGTATTATTACCATTTTTATTGTTTTATGCTACAATTGTACATCATACGCAATGCTCAAAATTTTTTCTTTGCATTTATATGTTATGATATTATATATAATTTCACTAAAATCCATAAATTTATAGTTCACAGTATTTGAAGAATCCATTATTTCATTCATGTAGAGATAATTTTGGGCAAGAGTATATATAGGCTGGGAGGTAAAAATGAAGTCCATTGTCTTGCCTTTCAACTGTGATTATTTTCTTCACATCAGTTTGCAGTTTTCACCAAGGGATAATTCTTTTTATTCATGACCAAAGAAAGGATTAATGGCAACTAATAACAATTATGATTTTTAAAGATGTAATTATTCGTTTTCAATTAACATTTCGTTCACATCAGTGTAACCTATTGAGTAATTTTTCAGTTCTGAAAATGAGTAAGCAAACTAAATTATTGATTTCATGCAAACTGAAAATGATTTGTCCTTAGGAATTTGAGAATGCAGTTAAAAGTCGTCCATCCAGTTAAACATGCGTCCATAAGGCAGCGATACACATTCCCTGTATTTTCAAAAGGAGGTAGACCTTATGCTGCTCCCAAATATTCTGCGGAACTTGCAATTAGCTCCATAATTTTTTTTTTTTTTTTTTTTTTTGCTTAACTTTGTCGATTGTATTGACCTAACTGTAAAAAGAACTTTGAAAATCAAAGATGACGAAGACATTATAACAGCTCCTCGTGAATGTAGAATTCATTCCAAGAAGCGAAACACAGCACAAAATAGAAAGTTCGATTAATTGTAAAATGCAATGGTAATGCAATGGTTTTAAGAAATTCACTCTCCCAATGACACTTATTAGTTGTGAATTGCTAATAAATATAACTGAATAACATAAATACATCAGAGGAGAACATTTTTTTCCTACGGTTTAACAGGTTTTTATCAGTACCAGGAAACTTGAGAAATCGACTGTGTTTTCCCCGTGATTTGAACCATGGATTTTCCAGATGCTAGAAGGATTTACTAACCACCGACACCCTAACTTCCTACAGTTTGCGGATATTTTTATAGACTGTGTATTTGTTTCTACTGTCTGTAGATGTCTAACTTCTACAGACTGTGAATGTGTTAACATCCTAGTATTCACCCAGGCAGCACGTCTCCAAAAATATACGTATAATAAAATATATTTTGGTGAAATAAGGGTATGGTATTTTTTGCACGTCACTTTTACGAAATTTATACGAATGAAAAAGGCTGAAGTTACTGTTGACTCTTTATCGTTATTTTCCATATTATTATTTTTACGAAAATTATACGAATCCGAATGTACTAAAAAAACTACCGCCATAATGGTACATTTTATTCGTCACTTTTACGCATATTATACGAATCCGAATGTTCTGAAAGAAACTACTGCCTTTATGGTATATTTCATTCGTCACTTTTACGGATATTATACGAAGTCTAAAAAGATTGAAAATGAAGGTTATTAATTCAAAATATTTAGTGCATTTTTGGCATTTCACTTTGTTTTCCTTTTCCACGAACAGGAGAAAAGGGGAATTTTTTATAAATTTTAACATGTGAGCTAAATCTTTACATGCATTTTTGCAAAAAAATTATATTTTCTTAATTTAAAGACCTTCAAAATAACTTATTTATTTTCTTATATCAAATTTGTTATTTTTATTCATATCAACACTTACATTAATTTACACAATTTAATTTCTTTTATGAAAATCCTATTACCCATTTAACTAGAATAAGCTGTATATTAAATTTGTGTACTTACTGAGTTTGGTACAATATTTGCCTTATTTTAGCAAATGTGGGCAATTAAATTGGAATAAGACTAGCAAATTTTTCATGTCGAGGAATAGAATAATAAATAGAGCAGAAGATGCTTGAAAATGTTTAACTTCTTGAACAATAGTTTAATGTAGACCAAAGGATCATTAATTATAATCAAAGATATACTAATATTTCTATTTAATAATAATAATAATAACTCTACGAAATTGCAAGCTGAATCCTGATATTTTGCATATATTTCAGTTCCTTTAATCTTTGTTATAAAAATCGCATGAGGCTAACATTTTTTAATTTTGTTTATAGTACGGGAAAAATGATATAGCGATTTTAATAATTTTTATATGAGGAAAAAATAATAAATAATGTAAATAAATAATTATATTATATTTTATATTTTTCCTGAAACAGTTAAAGACATTCTTAATATGGAGATCTACAGAATAAGTACAAGAGGTCCAGTTAAATGAACTCAAAATTTACATAGTTAATTTAACGCTAACTTATAAAAATTTAACCGGATTTACGATTATACACTGAGCATGCGCATACACAGACATTTCTATTTTTCGTAGAAAAATTGAATTATTACCTTTAATACAGAGATGCTGTGAATATAAATTTATATAATGCAAAAATAAGTTTATTTCATATGCTAATTTAGAGGCTTTCTTAATATGTTTAATTATAAGAAAAAAAAAAAGCGTTGCAATTCTCTGTTCACTGACCAATGGCAAAGCAGACACTTTCTACTTCCGGTTGTGGCGGGATATTTGTTGAAGTCAGCAATGGCGGTCGAAAAGAATGGTAAAGTCGCAAAGAATACTGTTTGTTCGTGGATTGACGTTTGTGACTGAATCCATCGATTTTACTAATTATTTGAAGAAATTAAGTGAATATTTTATATTTTCAGTGTTTAATATTCGTTCTTTCTTCACCTATATAAAATTTTATAAATAGCGTCTGTGTAGGAAATGTGATTTTCCATGTGTTGTTGTTTTGTGTACGTGCCTAATGATTCATTTTCAGGATTTAAAAGGTTAATGACATATGCAGAGTCCCTGTTAATGACATAGAATACCAAATCAATAAATTGAAAAAGTTTTGCACTAGTTTGTTTCTTACTGTTTGTGTCACTCCTGTTTGTATGTGTCTCACCTTTTTATAGTTATATTATTTTTACTCAAACGTTTTAATATTTATCTTAAAGCAGAAAATAGTGTAATTAAGCAGGAAATAGCTTTTAATGGAAAAAGAAAGGCAATATTAACATGACTAATTGTTCAGAAATCTGTTCTGGAAATATTATCTATTTTATGCCAAAAAATAAAGCATGTAACTTTCATTTATTTATGAAATTCAAATTTTTTATTTGCTTAGTGTTTTCCCTAAAAATAATTTAATTTCTTATTTTTGAATTTAGTTTTATAAATTTGCTTTAATATATAATCTTTAACTCAAAGATATTGTGCTATTAAAACAGGAAATTTTATGCGATAGAAACACAGGTACTTTGTTCATTTTATTTTATATATACTGAATTTTCATGTACTTGTAATTACTGAATATATCCTTTCATGAATAATAATATCCTAAGTCCTTTCATGAATAATAAGTAAGTCCTAAGTCCTTTCATGAATTTTCTTTTTTGTTTGTTTGATTTTTTTGTTTTAAAAGATCTGCCATAGTTAAAGAGAAGAAATAAAGTAAGAATGCTTTACTTTCAGTTTTGAATAAATTTATTACTATTTACTGCAGCTTCAGGTTTCTCTAAACATAATTTTCGAAGTCAAAACTTGATAGTTATGTTGATTATTAGACTTGCATGAAAAAATTTATTGAAAAGTTAGTATTTGATCTAAAATACCTTAAATTATTTGAATTATATTTTACTAAATCATGTATTTTGATATAACTAGATAGTTAAAAAAATGAAAATTGTAAATGTGCAGAAATGCTTATATAAAACCAAGAAATTGTTTATATTTTGTTGCTTTTTTTTTCCCTTGTAAATTATATATATATATATTACAGTCTGGGGAGTCGGCACCCTGCTGAATTGTAGTAAACGAGACGTCCAATCTACTAGACCATCAAAGACGCAGATTTGGATTTTCTATTTCATAGTTATTGAAATCATAATGGTATGTTTGTTTAAATTAGTACTGTTTATGAATGTGATAAAAATAAATTCTGATAAGCTAAGAAATGATTTATTTTCTATTAATTATGAACTGTAAATAATGTAACCAATTTTCTTCATAGTATTTACTAAACATTTTTTTTTTTTTTTTTTAAAGGGAGGTAGTCTTATTTATACAATTCTTGCACAGTGAGATACCAAGAAATAAAACATTTCAGGAATTTTCACTCAGTATATCTTGATGTGTAAAATCATGTTGTTCAACGCCATATTACTTTTTCACAGGAAAGTAATTTTATTGATCTAACATCTGCATAAATCAAACTTTTTTAAGAATGATTACAGTTTCTAAGCTAACTTAAAATTTTCAGATTTAGAAAATATATGTTTAATGTAGCATTAGTTTTCCATGGAATAGAAAAGGTTTTAAAAATGTTCAGTTGTTAGAGGGAAATAATATAAATGAGATTGTCCTGATATAGTTTCAGCTGGAAATGAAACTGAATTTTCGGATAGTGAAGATGAAATTCTCTGCATTTAAGAATTCTAATAAACTGATTAATGTAAATTAATGTAAATCCTCTGCATAAGAATTCTAATAAAACTGATAATGTAAATCCTATGATTCATGTAGGTATTCTTCTGTTATCAGGACCAGATTCAGAAATGTGTGTCTATATGCATGCATTTTTAAATGTAGGTGCTCGTGTGTGCATGTGTATATTCTTTATGTATGTATGTGTATACTCATACACATATGCGCATACATGCATATACACATGCTTACATATCTACAGTGGAACCTTGAGATACGAGTTTAATTCGTTCCAGCATTCAACTGGTATAGCGAATTTCTCGTATCTAGAAACAAGCTTCCCCATTGAAAATAATGGAAATTCAGTTAACCCGTTCCACACCCCAAAAAATATCAACATTTTAATATCAAGTCAATTTTTCCTAATAAATAACACTGGTAAATAATATAACCATAGTTTAACTTTCTTACCAACCTTTTAACTCCTTCTCATTAATCCACACCAACAACAGCTTCTCAACATCTAGGAGTACTTTTATGGTGCTTGGAAGCAACGATAATTCCTTTGGCTAAATCAAGTTTCTTAATTTCTTCCTGCTTCTTCAGAATAGTGTAGATTTTCGATGTTGAAAGGCCGCAAGTCTTCGCCAATTCCGTCACCATGCTTATGTTTATCTATGATTTCTTTCTTGATATCGACGGCCATGGTCTCCTTATTTTTCTTTGCAGCACTATCTGAGGCAACAATCTTCTTGCGAGGCATCTTGAAATAATTATTTTCACGTTAAATGTCAAAACAATTAACTTGCAAGTGCACAAACACGTATATAAAAGAACACTGAGTGATCTGACGAGGGGATTCCCTGAGTTGAGCCGGATAATGAAATGGCGCCACCCATACCAATAGCCTGGCTCGCTCGTTAATGCCTCGTATTTTGCTCATACTTTCCTCGTATCTCGAATTTCATTGTACATGCCTTAAAGTACTGTTTTATGTTCTAAAAATATTCTGTATGTCTATTTTTTACAAGAAGAAAAAATAGCTAAAAGCTGTTAATTTATTTATTAGTCCAAAGGGGCTTTGTCTCTAAAGGACTATTGTTTTTGTTTTGCGTTGGTTCACTATAAATATCCGTTTCACTTTTCAAACTGTTCCCACCAAATGTTAGAGTCCCTAGTGTGGGATTAATACTTTCTATCTTAGTGCCCTCTGAAACCTATGTTAGGGTTAACCTGTATAACCTACAAGGATTGCCAGTTTAGGCGAGATATCTAGGTAGTCATCATAATACGTACCTTATTTTTTATTATTTTTAAATTAAATTGAAAGTAATAAACTAGTTTTCAAGAATGGAGTTAAACTAGATTTGCATTCAACTCTGGTTTATTGTGTTAATGATGTTTTGCTGTAACAAATATGAATTTTTTGTTTAAGTATAATAATTTAAAATGTTTTTTCTAGAGAATGAAGTACTGCCACTAAGTCGTATTGGATATGTTGCAAGGTAATTTTCTATTCTACATTAACTCAATCTTTATGTCCTGTTACAGATATATTGGCAGAAATAATGAAAACCTGACATTCAAAAAGAAAAATAATAACGTTGAATGTAGTATATTAGATGGTTAACTGCGATTTGGCAGCTCATTAATAATCGTACACATATTGAATACGAATAATTTTGACAATTACCGGTATTTTCAATAGTATAAAATTAGGCAAGAAAGCAGCTTTAGTTTAGAACCGATTTTAAATACAACTCTCTTAATTTCGAAGGTGATCCTGCACACACAGGTCCTGTGTAATAGAAGGCTCGCCAAACCAGGGTCCCAGCGGTTCGAAAGTCGCTGATGGCATGTATAGCCCTTAGAAAGTGTGCATTTGCAGTAATCAAAATAAACCTAAACCAAACCTGTTACAGATGTATTTTTATGTTACTAAAATAGTAAAACTTAAAACTAAACTGGATGGCACAAACAGCCCTTAGAGAGCCATGGCTGGCAATGCCTTGATATCTACTTTCTAGATGGTGAGCTCTGTGGTGTTTGTGCATAAGTGGTCAGCTTGTTGCAGGCCCCCCCCCCCTGGTATTAAGTCCCAAATGGAACTTGGTACTAATTTTATCGACCCACTCAAGGGATGAAAGGCTATTTCAACCTTGCCCGGCCTGGGAATCAAACGCCGGACCTCTGGTGCTGCTGCGTGATACACTAGCCACTGTGCTACCGAGCCTCCCTAAAATAGTAAATTTATGAAAATTATAAAAAAAATTCAAAATATCAGGGTACTTTTCCGTTTCGCCGGCGCAAATCTTGTCAAGCAGACTTTATTGGCGACAACACACAGTATACACATAAAAAATGTTAAGAAATGTTAGTTCTAAGAAATTTTTATTTTAAAAGGCATAAACATTTTAATATCGTTTAAAATTTTGTAAAATGATAATAAATAAAGACAATAAATTTGTAGAAAGACATTAATTTGTATTTGTAAAAAGAGATTAATTTAAGAATTTACTATGCTTTCATGGTACAACATTCTGATTCGCCGTTTTCATATCACGTGACCCAAGTGATCTCATCTCATGTTAAACTACGCTAATTCTCTCAGTAATTATCTACATTAATTTCAAGTTAAATCTTAATTTGGAATACAAGTTTAAATGCAAGAATTATTTCATTTCGTATGAATAGCTTACTCAGAAATTATGTAAAACCGCAGTGCTTTACTTTGCTAGTGCATTCTCATTAGAATTGATGAATTTAACCCTTGATTTTGCCTTTTCTATATTTTTGGGTGAGCGTGTGATTGCATCCTAATTGATTTAATTACCGCGAATGGCCTTAGGACATAAAATTGAACTATCTGGTAAAAATTCTATGTAATTGTATCCCAGTATTGAAAGAAACATTCAATCTGATAGAAATAGCTGCAACGTGTTTTGAAAATGAAACGTAAAAGGTTACCAGCGAGGATATTCTGTTTGGCATCGGTTGTACCATTTTGGGCGACTTTATCGCTTGCACCGGCAAAATGGAAAAGTACCAATATTGGTTTGACAAAGGTAAGATGTAATTGAATTTAATAAGTTGGAAATACTGTCTGTCTTTCCATGAGTTAAAAAATAATTTCAAATAAAATTTCTTTTTTCAGTTTTTCATGTTATTTGTTTAATGTTATTGTAATCTGATTTATTATTTTTAGTCACATGTTCCATCCCTCTTTGCACTATAGTATATAATTCAAAGAACTTATCAGTTTCAGCAATATTTTTTTTTACCAGTATACATTTTTACCATAACTCTGTTTCTAAATCATATCCTGAAAAATTAAGGAGTAAAGTACACAAAGAAGGAAAATATGCAAGTAAATAATGGCATTTAGTGTTGTTTATGTGTCTAATATTTGTACTAGATTGTAAAAGTTATAAAATTCTATTAGCTTTTATTCTTTTTTAAATTGAGATGCTTCTTTGCACCCAAATGGTTAAAGCCTTCCAGAACTGGTACTTTGATCTAACTTCTATTCCTAATAAATAATCCAGCTGCATACAGTTTACTCAATTTCTGCCATGTGTAAGGTAAACAGTATTAGCTTTTTTTAAATATATCTTTTACAACTATTCCATCAGGTAGATTTCTTTCATATTTTGCCTTAATTGAGTCATCCTGCTAATTAAGAATTTATTAAAGTTAATATGTTACGTTAAGTTTTTGTGTGTATAATTCATTTTAAGTATGTGCAAGCAAATGCATACATTAACAGTTACGTAGAATTATGTTTTGGGTATCAAATTCAGAAATTTTTTGGGCTGTTTTTAGAAGATTTATTAATGATTTATACCATATTAATATTGGTAAAAAAATTCTGTGGCTTTATATGAGAGTATATATTTTAAAATAGCTGCATGATATGGTAGAGGTAAAAAGCTTCATGTGGATCATAAATTAATATTACGTGGGAATTTTTCATTTATTTAATAAAGAAAATATTCAAGCCACAATTAAATTTTTTTCACTGGATTATTTGCATACAAAGTTTGCAGCAAATATTTCCTGCAACAGAAGTGACAATTTTTATTTTGCCAAGACAGGAAATTTAGTTAGTGAAAGCAGTAACCCTATTTTGGGATGTTAAATAGGAAGGCAAATTTTTGAATTTAAATTGATTTTTGAAGGAAGACTTCATTTAGTCTTGCTATCATTCTACGTGGCTTTTAACTTTTTTATGGTATTTATAATTTTATTGTTATTCAGCTTTCTGTTTGCTTAGAATGCACATGAATGTAGACTTGAAATATTTTATATTGCAAACTGAGATGCCATGCCATTGTTATCATAATTAAAGATTTGTGTTCTGATTTTGGAGGAATTTACTGATAATACTTTTAATTGTGTATTGGTTTATTGAAATGTGTAAAATAGCCTGTTAATGCATATACGTATGTTAATGACATGTATATGTTTATGAAGTATTCTGTTATATGTATATAGTGTTGTGATTAGTTTTCTGCTTACTCTTTATTTAAGAAAAAGTTATCTGTAAGAAAGCGAATATTCTTTACTATATGTAGGAGTAAAATTGGAAAGGCTAATGCAATATAATTAATACAAAATTAAGTTTTTTCTCGTGTACTTAAATACAAACATAGCCATTAAAGACTTTCTTAACCTTGCAGTTCTAAACAAATCTTTAGGTATTTTTTACTTGAAATTATAGGCATTGTGTAAGGTATATAATTGAAGTTTACTGTGTGATAGTATGAACTTAAATTTTTAATTACTGAAATGTAAATTTTTAAATATGAAATACTCAGTGCATTTTATATGCATCTTTTAATACTTCAACTATATTTAAAAACTGAAAACATCTGAAGTTTGAAATTATTACAAATTTTTCTTTTTCTTGTTTAGGAGCTGTTCTCAAAACATTGGGTTTAAAGTATAGAATATTATGATATGTGGAAAAAAAATTATGCTCTTCAGATTTAATGTTAGTTTTTATTTTTTTATTGTTTAACAGTAATTGCAGTTTTCGAATACCTGTAAAATAAACCTAATTCTTAAATTAATTTCATGTGTATTTCTTTTGCAAGTATTACAGTTCATAATACTTCAAACA